CTAACGCATTCCACGCGTTCACCACTCTGCAAGTAAAGAATTCCTGTCTCGACCTGAGCCGCACCTGCGGTTTGCGCAACTTAAGTCGGTTACCTCTCGTTCTCTTGCTGTCATCAAACTGGAAAAACCTACCACACTCGACATTATCTATTCCTTTAATTATCTCGAAAGCCTGGATGAGATCGCCCCTCCTTAACCTTCGTTCGAGCGAGTACAGTCCCAACACTTCTAAACGCTTCTCGTATGATTGTCCCCTAACCTCCTTAATCATTCTTGTGGCCCTCCTCTGTACTCCCTCGAGCGCCAACAGATCGCCTTTATTTGTAGGCCTCCAAAACTGGATGCAATATTCCAGCTGATGCAATATTCCAGGGTGGGCCACGAAAACAAACCTATCATATTTGGTGAGTCATCTAACTCTTTGTAGGCAGCCGATTTCAATTAAAATTCACTTGCTTATAAAGTGGCGCAATTGAAGTTGGTATGCAAAATTTCTGCTATCTGGCTTCAAAATTATAGGAGCAGTAATTATTTCCTGATGACCAGCCACAAAATGTGCTGTGGAAAATATCGTCATAACCTTGAGGTCGAGAGGAGAGGGATGCCCGAATTCATTGACCTTCCATTCCTGCATCATGCTACGAATCCTCAAAGGTTTATTGACCGAACCTTTAATCTGTGGTATCCCAGAGTAGAGGCTTGCTTTCAACAGAATGGAGGGCACATTGAGCACCTTTTCTGTTGAAATATACATCCCTAAACCACATGCTTTTGTGGTTGCCATTTATGCATCTGTTTTTGTTTGTTTGCTTTCTTGTTTTTGCCGTTTGTGAGAATTTTCAAGCTGAAGGAAAAAATGAACACTTAATTTTTTGATGATGAAAATTAAATTAAGTGCCAATCTCAAAGTTTTTTATATTTATTCGAAACTTGGCACACAGACAATTGAGTCACCCTATGTGTATACCAAATGCCACAAAAATCGGCCCCATACAATCAGATTGACAACTTACCACGAATTTTTTTATAGATTAATTTTATTGAATTTCCTTTTTGTGATTTTCCGTTTGTATTGAGACATCTCCACCATGTCGGATGCTCCCAAGAAACTGTTTTTTTTTTCTTCTTTGCTTGTTTGCTGATGTTGACACTTCCACCGTGAATATCGCAGCATTGAATCAACGTCTAGTCACTGTGGGTGCGTAAGTGGTGACAGTCGTCTCTTCAAGCCAACGTTCATTCAACATAGAAGTATAAACCTTACAGTGATACAATCAATCCACACCAAATCAACGTTAAATCTATGTTATGTGCTTCTTGGGTCGGCTCCTTGCTATGAAGCTCCTTTTCTGATCCGAAATTCATATTCCCACGTCATCAATTAATTCCAGGCACACAAATACGGACCTATCTATGTAACAGTAAACTCTTGAAGGAAACTCCTGGAATATTGTCTGAAGGCAACTTGAACCGAACGCGAGCCTACAATAATTTCAACCAACGAAACTGAACCGGTCGATAACCAGAAGAAAGCCGAAATCGAACATATCCCAAGCTGAATCACACAAACTGAACTGATTTCGAAAGCAATCGAAACGAACCGGAAGAAAACCGTTCCTCTCGTTCGGGGATTAGAAAAATTTTAAGAAATTTAATTTAGTTTCACCAAAAATCGAATTAAAGACTGCCACAAGGTTGTCCAAAAGGTTCAGCTATGGACCTCTAAAACCATTTTAGGTGGCATTTACTTGCAAGGCTGATTGCTGAAATTTCATCAGAGCGTCCAATTTGATGAATGCCGATATCGGAAATCCCCATGGACCAAGAGGTATGTCACACCGATACGTAACAATGAGTGATAGCGACGTGGCAACAACAGTGAATTCACACTTGAACGATTTTTATGCTTCCTGATTTCGTATATAGAAAAGCTCTTTTACCCGGTGGAAGTTTGGACCAAATCAGGAACTTTTTCAAGAAGAAGTGAAGCAGATAGACGAGTAGAATCGAAGTGAAGATTAACGTAACACCCATCGCCATCGGTCACGATGCACGAACAACTGAAAAAAGAAACATCGCCGCGGAACGGCATCAGAACGACATCGAATGCGAACTGGCCTCCGACGAACGGGAGACGCGCGCAGCTCTCAACGAAGATCGAGCGAGAGGGCGGCCTCGGAGAGGGAGAACTCAGGAGTGGGAGGCCTCCGAAGAATAACACTCTGGAAGGGGAGGACTCGGCTTCGAAGAGACCATCGCCACAGAAAAAAATTCTCCCTCGGTCATCCATCGTCATCATTCGTCGGACCGGCGAGACGCAATTACATTGCTGATGAATCATTCTTCTCTCGATGCTTCCTTCCCTCAACGAGGAATAGTAAGGTCCTCCTCATACTCCCAGGGTTCCGTGTTGGTTGCTGAAGAAGGGAGCCGTAGGCCAGCTTGGTACTCTTAGGTAGGAAGAATACTTCTTCACTCTTCCAAATACACTAGACCTCTAAGGAGTTGTGGCGAATTGGAGATGCATGGCGGTATTAATCCCCTTCAAAGCTAGAAATTTCCCTATGAAAATTCGCATGCATTTCGAAGAAAACTGACATCAATATTACATAGTATTCATATAAATATGCTCCTTCAGATGTAAACGGGAATAACCAATTCATGTAAAACTCTCAATTTTTATATCTCCGTTTGCGTCTTGAGTTGCAAAAAGCAGAAATTAATCTTGAAAATTAAGAGACTTATGACATGAGCATTCATTTAAGATGAGGCTCAAGACAAGCATCAGTTCCAAATTCCATCTACATGGTCGTTCGTCCAGGCGGATGCAGGTCGACATTTTGTTTGGGTAATAGACGTTTAAATAGGAATGAGCGCAACTAAAACTGACCTTTGCAAATAAGTAAGCTAGAATACCTGACGTATATTGAGTCTATTGCTGACAACAACAAAATTATCATTTTCTCCTTCGTTTTCATTTTTCTCATTTGAGTCTTCTCTAAACCCATCAGTCACTCAAAAGGAAGTAAGGCAAAACGTTCTTTTTTCTTTTATTAAAAGGATATATCGCGTTTGAAACAAAATTGGACTTTCATCTCACCCTCAGAATGCACGAGACGGGAAAAGAGAAGGGAATGAAGAAAGGGAAAGCCTTTCATGAATGGTTTTCAAAACATGCCTATTTAAATATCTTTTGCAAGTTTTTAGAGTGGACAACTCCAGTGATTCCCAAATCGAACTTTGTTGGTAAAGCAACTCTTCCTGCACCTTCAAGTCCAAGTAATTATTACATCTCATGCTTGTTTCCAGCCATCAATTCCAGACACAAACAGTTCCGAAATAAATTTTTTCCATCGGTTGCCTACAAGTAACTAGTTGGAGGAATGAAGAGGAGTTCCTGCGATAACGATGAATCGATTTTGCTTCAATGCTTCCTCTCACTCACGAGGAATTGGATGGGTTGAGGAGGATTCAAGGGTAAGCCCGGAATGCTATCGGACTTGGGATGAGGAAGTCTTCGTCGTGGTGCGAAATGTGAATTTCTGCATGAAGATGGCCAGGAACAGGAAGATTTCCATGTGGGACATTGATTCGCCGGGGCATTGACGCTTCCCTATTGACGACGAGAGTTCAGAAATAAAATGTGCGACGCTTGAATCACCTCGAAGAAGTTGACCAACCGAGAGAGAATGGAAAGTAGCTGGGGAGGGTTTTCACGGTTCCATCTGGATTGAGGAATCTTCCCGGTTGAAATTTCCCTGGATCGGGCCAGAACTTGGGATCCATGTGACACGCCCAGACGTTTGCCGTGAACATTGTACCATATGAAAGATTCGGTACTTTCAAAAAAGGAATATTTTTCCATGTTTCCACGTCTCCAAGCCGAGAGAGTCAATTTCCAAATCTTTCACCATCGTTTAACCCCTTCCATTTGCAAAATTTCACTTTCTCGATTTCCCTCTCCGAACGCATCTTGAGGAACATATTTGGGCAAGTTTCTTACACTGAAAACACAAAATCGTTTCAGTAAATTTGAAGCTCCATCTTCTCCTGGTTATGGAAACAAAAGGATCTCTTTAAGGTGCAAGTGTGAGTTTCAATCTGGTGAAAGGTGAAAGGCGCACCCATCAAACCCATGGTGATCCGACAATAAGGATTCGCTTTTAATTTCTCCTTCGCGAGAGCGGGAACGAATTACGGAGATTCTGGAAACCGCAGCGGGAAGAAAAAGCCTCTCTTGCATCGTGCGAGGGGATGTCACCGCTCGCAGTCTCCTCTTTCCCCAGTGGTTTTAACGGCGTCCTCCATCGAAATTCGGAGTCGGCGGAGACTCGATTCCTGACGCCCGAAGCCTTAAGTGCAACCTTGTCCAATCGGAGCTGATGGCGATCGCGAAGGCGATTTGGGAATTACTTACTTATTACTTACTTACTAATTAGTTACTTGGTACTCACGTCTCGGAAATTGGTATCGAATGTAGAAAGTCTCGATCGTGGGCGAGCGCTTTAAATTACGCTTCATTATCATTATTCCCTTATCATGATTTCATCATTACCATTATTATATTAATGCGTATAATTATCATTGAATTTTCGTCTCATTGCTATCAAGGTAGATACCAAATAAAGTACCACATCCATGGCCTTACTGAATTCCAGTTACCAACGCACATATGCCTATTTGAATGATTAAACCCTGTTGAAATATTTTTCCTTGGCGTCAAAAGTAAGCACCATATAGTAGCTCCTGCTTCATCGGTTGAATGGAATGACACTACAGACACCGATAATATTTTCGCCAGGGCAGCCGTGTTCCGATTCAGGCGCCGATAGGCTCGCAGTGCTGGCGGCCAAAGGAATGTCGAGAAGGTCATCCAATCGAAGGGTCAACGGGGCTGAACGTGTAGGAATATTTCCTCGATCCGAAGCATCTTGGCATCGTCGTGAGACAATTTCTTTCCCGTGGGCAAAAAGCCTTACAGATACATATTTTATATTGTTATTGTAATATTGATTTAATCAAAAAAATAACCGTAATTATACTAGTTAAAAAGTGCAACGAACGAATATGAAGGTGTTAGCGCACCTGCAAGCATTTTCCAGATGATATTGGTGATTGCGAGATTGAGGCGGGGACCACGCTGTAGAGGCTTGCGTTGATTCTCTTGTTCTCTCGTTGATTCTCTTTGGGGAATCCGCACAGTGGTAGGAGGGCGTCTTGGACGATCAAATCCATGGCTTCTCTCTTCCCGAAGTCGAAATCCCTCAAAATCCGCATGGTGAAGCGGCGATTGTCTTGCCAGAAGCTTGCCAGAAGCTCCGCGGCTGCGATACCTGGAAAATGGGTACAAAGGCTTGTGAAGCACCTGGAAAATGGGTGCAAATGTCTGTGAAGCACTTGGAAAACGGGTGGAAAGGCCTGTGAAGCACCTGGAAAATGAGTATAAAGGTCTGTCAAACCTCCTTGAAAACGGATTCGCGTTGGATAAATGCCAGATATTGATTTGACATAGGAAAACTATTCATAAAAGTGCAGGCAATGGTTCATTTTTCATGTTGAACACCCACACATGCCCTTAATGTACCCAACTCTGAAATTCGTCATCAAAGTTTCTCAATAGATTATATTCGTCTATCGGAATTGTTGATGGGAAGGTGGCACCGTTTGGGAGTTGCGGTCCCGTCAACCGAAACTTCAAGGTTTGGCAAAAGTTCTCGAAACCCCACAATATGCACGTGCGTCGGAGCAAAGAGGCGGCAGCGGCGCTAGTGCCGCTCAGGCCTCCTAGCCCTTCCAGCGCTGGAGCGGCACGCCGCAGTGCGGGCAGGCACTGCTACCGGAACTTAAGAAAAGGTGGGGGGCGCCGATTCTTCCGAACACATCAATGACTTTCAGCTTCACCGCAAAAACAATGACGGCCACTCTAAAGGAGCAGTAGCATAGCGTTAAAAGAAAGGAGCTTTAATTGCAGCATAGGAGAAGAATAACTCTTTTAAGTTCCTGTTAGCCTATATGCTTCATACCGTTTTCTTTCTGGTTGGACTTTCAACCTTCCCTCCCAATAGAGTTATTTTCGCGAAATTTTCACATTGAATGGATGAGTATGTTTCGGACTGACACCTCTAATTTCACCCAAATGTATCGTTCTGAAGCAATTCTATCAGCAATTATTGAAAGGAAATTAAACATTGAGAATGGAAAAGCGGTCCCGCCGACGATGGAGTCCGTTCTCAATGTCTAACTTCCTTTCAGCGATTTCTGGTAGAATTGCTTCAGAACAATGAATTTGGGTCAAGGTTGAGTTGTCAGTTGGAAATTGAACAGCCAACGTTTGGAATAGAATGTTCGGCATCGGAAAATTCTGGCGAATGAAGAGGTGTCAGCCCATACACTTGAGGATTAATTCATGACCTTGTCGATGGAAGGTTTTAATAATAGAACATGGCTTACATCCCAGTGGATCCGGATGGCTCATCCCTTCTCCCGAAAGCGAATTTTCGAGTGATGAGGCCCTCTGGCCGGCCCGAAACGTCATTTCGTTCGTAGAAGTCCCGCACGAGTTCCCAGTTGTCCAAAACCACAAGTTCCTGCTGAAATACGCTGATCGTGAAGATGTCCCCGTATTTCTTCCTCAGGACGTCCAGTTTCTCGAATATGTCCTTCCCCGATAAAAAAAAGGAGTCATTCCGAGGAACGGCAGACCCCATGGGCCTGGAAAAACGCGGCCGCGTTTCCTTCATGAATAATTGTCATATTGAAATGAATTTGTTAAGTTAAAATTTGTTTCAATTCTTGAGTTGAGTAGGTTACCCGGTGGAAGTTTGGACTAAACCAGGAGCTTTTTCACGTAGAAGTGCTGGAGAAAGACCAGCAGAAAAGAAAGCAAGACCAAAGTAACACTAATCGTCGTTGGTCCCCGACGCACTGAAGAAAAAAGTTCCCGATTCCTTTTCGAACATCCTGCCGAACGACCTTGCGGGGATCTCCAAAAAGTTGCGCAACTCTCTCGGGCATTTCTCCCTTTCGAGAGTCCCAGCCGTCGGAACGGAGATCCGAGATGAAGTCTTCCGCGCATGATTCTGATCGGTCGGATGTCTCGTTGGTAGCCCATCGCATCACGTAGAAATTTAAAAGAAATGATATAGATGAAACCAAAATTTCAGATCAGAATGCGAGCTGCTCGTATGCAGGTTGGGACATAACTTCCTCATCCCGATAAACGCAAGTTGATAGAGTGACATCGTTTGTTATCAAAGCGCTCATCACTGAATCACATTCATCTATGACATAGACGCATGAACCCTGCATTGAGTAAGAAAGTGCTCATAGGAGGTGCTGAGGTGCATCTTCATGTGCAACATTTGTGAGGATCTGGACAGAACGGCATCAGAGACGGGAGGGGCAAGCAACCCTGTATTATTATTTCTGTGCAAAAATTCCGAAACAAGAGTAATTTTAAGCTCAGTCATGACAATATGAGAAGATGCGCCACAGCGACATGTGCTCATATTTGGCAAGTCATTCCGTTTCTACTGCCTACGTGTTAATGGGCGGCTCGAGAGTGTTCGAAGGAGAGTTCAAAATGAACAGGTCCTGAATCCCGAGAAGGAACTTCATTATAAGCGCAAATCTGCTACCGCTTCAGAGGTAAACTGAATTGCTGAAGATGATACATTCTTCTAGATATCGAACAGCAAGGGAATCGATTACAAGAAAGAATTTCTCCAAGGTCTCCAAATGGGCCTTAATACTTTCTGGTCTGGAGGTCACGAAGTTTAAATTTAAAGAATACACGTCTATACGTTCAAAGACCAGTGGTTACGTGTTACCGTTATTTATGTTATAACCGGCCATACCATTACGGGACTGGGGAAACATGCGCTAAAATGATCAGATAATAATGAATCACTCAAGCTTCAATGCTTCCTCTCCTCCACAAGGAATTGGTATGGTTTGGGAGGATTCACGATGAAGTTACCAACGGCTTCAGCTTTGGGATGAGGACGTCCCGTCGTGGTGCGAAATGTGAATTTCTGCATGAAGATTGTCAATTCCTCTCCTCCACAAGGAATTGGTATGGTTTGGGAGGATTCACGATGAAGTTACCAACGGCTTCAGCTTTGGGATGAGGACGCCCAGTCGTGGTGCGAAATGTGAATTTCTGCATGAAGATTGTCAGGAACAGGAAGAGTTCCATGAGGGCCAAGGACTCTCCTAGGCATTGACGCTTCCCTGTTGGTGGAAGGCAAGCTTTGCTTGTTATGCGTTGCCGCTCTGACATCCAGAACGAGATGACCTACCGAGGAGGAAGGGGAGGAAGCTGGGGACTTTTGTCTTTATGGATCCATCTGGATTCAGGAATCTTTCAGGATCGAACTTTTCGGGATCGGGCCAGAACTTTGGATCCATGTGAAACGACCACATGTTCGCCAGGAATGTCGTTCCCTACGGAAGCAGTGGAACCTCCAAGGTTTCCAAATAATTCATAGAAAATAGTTGTCGACATACCGAGGTGAAAATTACCTTCGGGAACCGATAACTGGCGACTTCGGTGTCCTCAGTGGCCAAGTGAGCCAATCCAAACGGAATCAGATTCGCTAACCGTTGTACCTCCATGATGAAGGCTTGAGTGTAGGGCATTCTGCACAAATTGGACGATAAAACGATGCATAAACAGAATAGGCAAATGAAAATGGAAAGGAGTAAGCATCCAGAACAAAAATGAATAACAGAAGAGAAATGAAAAGCAACCTTAAATATTTTCATGGCTTTTTCGAAAAAAAAAATTCCAAAACTTTCGTGAATGACATAAGCGCATGATATGTTTTAAGCCCAACCTGTCTCGGTCGTTGAGCGAAGGAAGTCTGTCGGGCCCAACAATGCTGTCGACTTCAGCCTGGAGTTTCTCCTGAATTTCGGGGTGGCAGAGGAGAAACAGGACGCACCAACGAATGGTATTAGCCGTCGTATCACTTCCGGCGGGAGGGACGAGTCACGAATTAGCAATCATTCAAAATCTCTTTTTTTTTCATTATTTTTGCGCGGATACCTGAGAAATTAGGATTGACATCTCCTCGAGCCTTTTGCTGAGCCATTTCTGCAATGTAGGCATCGATATAATCCTTAGGTTCTCCAGACAAAGGAAAATGTTTCTTGTGCTCTTTCACCTCATCCTAATGGGACGAAATGAGTTAACATATATATTAAGTTCATTAAATACTAATCCTTCCAGAAGTCCTTGCATCTTCATTTGAAAATGGATAGTTCAATTCTGAAGCCAGCCTGGCAATGGTTAAATATAAACACTAGTATCGGTTGACTATTAATCCCAAGTGGAGTGCATCTAGCAAGAGCATGGGAACAAAATCAGAAACTTGGTTTTGTTGAATAGTACAGTGCTTCCGAGCTTGATTCGATCAGGATTGTATTGCCAAAATGGGTCATCGCCATCCGTGGTTGTTGAGGCTGTTATCTTGGAAACTGCAGGATCCTTGCTACAGCACGATAGGCTCAGGCACTAAGTGCAGCATAAGCAATTCAAAGCCCTAATTACCCAAGGAGGGGGGGCAGGTCGCCTCGAGGGCGGAGGAAGAGTGGAAAACTGAGGGTGCACTGGTGGGGACTGGAAGCAACTGGGACGTTGTTGGGGTCGAAGTCCTACAGATCGTGAGCGCTTGGAGCGCTCTGAGGCATTGGGTGAAGAGACCTGTGGTTCTACGAGGGGGATGGGAGGCGTTGCCCAGTGCCTGCATATTTTTTTAATTAGCTACGTCCTATATTCGCTTTTCGGTGAATCTCGTTCAAAGAACATGCTTGAGTTTGTTCTCGGGAAGAAAATGTAAAAAACACTTGTGAATGCGCAGCCACTGATTTGTGATATAATTTGATCAAAATTGGTAGAAACACAGCAGATACCGAGAATATTTTCGTCATGGCGGCCATGTTGCGGTCGATGCGTCTACTGGCTTTCAGTGCAGGCGGCCAAAGGTACACCAGCAGAGGAACTCAGTGGAAGCTTCCAACGATCCCTGTGTCGTGCAGCACTTCCATGAATCGTTTCATGAAGTCCTGCATCTTCGCATCCTCGTGAGGAAATTGCTTGTCTGTGAAAGATAGGCATGAACAATTGCACGAAAAATTGCCAAAATTCGCCATGAAAAATTGCCAAATTGCATTGTGAACCGGCAGTCATTTTCCAGATGATGTTTAGAACGGCAAGATTGAGACAAGGACCCAGATCAATAGGCTTGTGCTGATTCTCCCTGAGGAATTGGCAGAGATCGAGGGCCGAGTCTTGAATCATGGAGTCCATGGCTTCCCTCTTCCCGAAGCCAAAGTCCTTCAAAACCCGCACGGTGAAGCGCCGGTTCTCCTGCCACATGCTCCCCTGCGNACCGGCCAATATTGTATTTATTGCCATTGTGCATTGGTGACCAGAAACTTGCATATCTGCACATAAGAAATTTAAATTTGAAGCACTGGAGGTCTGGTCTTTCATAATTCCGGGTAAACCTCTGGAAAGAGAAAATCTTTCTTGTAATCGATTCCCTTGCTGTTCGATATCTAGAAGAATGTATCATCTTCGGCAATTCAGTTTACCTCTGAAGCGGTAGCAGATTTGCGTTTATAATGAAGTTCCTTCTCGGGATTCAGGACCTTTTCATTTTGAACTCTCCTGCGAACATTCTCGAGCCGCCCATTAACACGCAGGCAGTAGAAACGGAATGACTTGTCAAATATGAGCACATGTCGCTGTGGCGCATCTTCTCATATTGTCATGACTGAGCTAAAAATTACTCTAGTCTCGGAATTTTTGCACAGAAATAATAATACAGGGTTGCTTGCCCCTCCCGTCTCTGTCGTTCTGTCCAGATCCTCACAAATTTTGCACATGAAGATGCACCTCGGCGCCTCCTATGAGCACTTTCGTACTTAATGCAGGGTTCATGCGTCTATGTCATAGATGAGTGTGATTCAGTGATGAGCGCTTTGGTAACGAACGATGTCACTCTATCTACTTCCATATATCGGGACGAGGAAATTATGTCCCAACCTACACACCAGCAGCTCGCATTTTTATCTGAAATTTTGATTTCATCTATATAATTTCTTTTAAATTTCTACGTGATGCGATGGGCTACCAACGAGACATCCGACCGATCAGAATCATGCGCGGAAGCCTTCATCTCGGATCTCCGTTTCGACGGGCTGGGACCCTGGAAAGGGAGGAATGCCCGAGAGAGTTGCGCAACTCCGAGTAACCTACTCAACTCAAGAATTGAGACAAATTTTAACTTAACAAATTCATTTCAATATGACAATTATTCATGAAGGAAACGCGGCTGCGTTTTTCCAGCCCCATGGGGTCTGCCGTTCCTCGGAATGACTCCTTTTTTTATCGCGGAAGGACATATTCGAGAAGCTGGACGTCCTGAGGAAGAAATACGGGGACATCTTCACGATCAGCGTATTTCAGCAGGAACTTGTGGTTTTGGACAACTGGGAACTCGTGCGGGACTTCTACGAACGAAATGAAGTTTCGGGCCTGCCAGAGGGCCTCATCACTCGAAAACTCGCTTTCGGGTGGATGGGTGAGCCATCCGGATCCACTGGGATGGAAGCCATGTTCTATTATTAAAACCTTCCATCGACAAGGTCATGAATTAATCCTCAAGTGTATGGGCTGACACCTCTTCATTCGTCAGAATTTTCCGTTGCGAAACATTTTTTTCCCAAACGTTGGCTGTTCAATTTCCAACTGACAACTCAACCTTCACCCAAATTCATTGTTCTGAAGCAATTCTACCAGAAATCGCTGAAAGGAAGTTAGGGCTTATGGCTCCGGGTAATGGATTCGACACGGATCGGGCGCGGATCCGGCTCGGATCGCGACACCGTACACCCAGGGAAAGAATTTTATTTAGGTACCTTTTATACCAGATTATTTTTTTTGGTCGGTGCACAAAATCCGAGGAAGTGTAAGCAAACGCTTCGATGCGCTTCCGGGTGTCTCCGCTTTTCTTCTTTTACCTTTAAATTTTTCGTTTACCGAGTTGGCTAATTTCAATCCGACAATGATGGTCTTTCGGAGATTCCTCAAAACTTCAGCAGTCCCGAAGACATCAGAGTCCCTCGCGATTCCATATCGTCCATTACCCGAGTACCAGAGCTTCAAGTAGTTCGTCTCTAGTTCCGGTGGGCCCTCCACCCCACTCTCCCCCTTTCTTTCGCAGACTGGACGAAATTACTTATAAAAAAAAAATAAAACAATTTTTGCCACCCTTTCGGGCACAGCGCTTTCAGACTCAAGGTCCTTTCAATAGCTCTCGCTTTAGGGAATTCGCCTGAACGCGAGTAGATTGAACGTCCAGTCTCGACGACGAAATCTCCACGTCCCGAACCGAACCTTCAAATTAAACGCAAATGAAATGAATGAGTGTCGACAGCGGCGAATTCTCCTGGAGGATCTCGGGTCATCTCGGGTCATCTCGGGTTACGAAAGAAAACTTGAGTCGCGGTAATTTTAGGCGCCGTCACTTAAGTAGAGCTCTACTCACTGCCGAAGCCTCCGCTAAGCCGCTAGCAAAGAATCTAAAAATGGCAGTTATAGTAAGTACCGAAGAAGTCCACCTTCTATTCTCGGCAAGTGTGTCTTGTCGACTAAAAATTGGGAACACCCGAATCCCCAAAAATGAACTTCTTCATAAGTGCAAACCTCCTGCGCTTCAAATGTAAATTTCTTATGTGTAGATATGCAAGTTTCCGGTCACCAATTCACAATGGCAATAAATACAGTATCGGCCGGTTCCGATTACAGGACCGGAGAAACATGAGCTAAAATGATCAGATAATGATTATCAATCACGCTTCAATGCTTCCTCTCCTCGACGAGGAATTGGAAGGGCTTGGGAGGATTCACGATCAAGCCGCCAACAGCCTCGGCTTTAGGATGAGGACGTCCCGTCGTGGTGCGAAATGTGAATTTCTGCATGAAGATGGCCAGGAACAAGAAGAGTTCCATGAGGGCCAAGGACTCTCCCAGGCATTGACGCTTCCCTGTTGATGGACGGCTTTAGGATGAGGATGTCCCGTCGTGGTGCGAAATGTGAATTTCTGCATGAAGATGGCCAGGAACAAGAAGAGTTCCATGAGGGCCAAGGACTCTCCCAGGCATTGACGCTTCCCTGTTGGTGGACGGCAAGCTTTACTTCAAGTGCTATACGGTTCTGCTCTGACATCCAGAATGAGATGACCTACCGAGGAGGAAGGGAAGGAAGCTTGGGACTTTTGTCTTGACGGATCCATCTGGATTCAAGAATCTTCCAGGATCGAATTTTTCAGGATCGGGCCAGAACTTGGGGTCCATGTGACACGACCACACGTTCGCCAGGAACGATGTTCCCTACGGGCCCATCAGGACCTTCAAATATTTATTTTATTTTTGGGGGCTTTTAAATGCTTTCGTACGCAGACGATAGTGGACCTTGGGAAATCGATGACCGGCAACTTCAATGTCTTCTGTGGCAAAGTGAGGCAATCCGAAGGGGAGCAAATTCGCTAATCGTTGCACTTCCATGATGAATGCTTGCATGTAGGGCATTCTGCACCAATAGGACATTGCAATTTTTTTTTAAAGTAAAATATACGAATGAAAAAAGAATGGAAAGGCACGCGAAGTAATGAAGGATAATAAAAAAAAAGCTTGAAAATCCAAATGAAGACATAGATTGCTTGACGCGTTACCTTGAGTAGAGACAAACGCAAGTCAAGAAAATGATTCCGTCGATTCGCTTGTATTTTTAATTTCGGAATTCAAGAAGCTTTCTGGACTCCTGCACGACCTGTATTTGCCAAACCTGTCTCGGTCGTCGAGCGAAGGAAGTCGGTCGGGCCCGACCACGCTGTCGACTTCGGCCTGGAGTTTCTCCTGAATTTCGGGGTGGCAGAGGAGAAACAGGACGCACCAACGGATGGTGTTTGTTGTCGTCTCGCATCGTCGAGCGAAGGAAGTCGGTCGGGCCCGACCACGCTGTCGACTTCGGCCTGGAGTTTCTCCTGAATTTCGGGATGGCAGAGGAGAAACAGGACGCACCAACGGATGGTGTTTGTTGTCGTCTCGCTCCCGGCGATGAACAGGTCTGAGATGATCACTCGCAGCTCGATCTCTGTAGGAGATTAGGGTCGGTCAATCGGTGATCATTCAGAGTCTTCTCGTTTCGTCGGTGATGCTACAGATACCTGAGAAATTCGGGTTGATCTCCCCTCGAGCTTTCTGCTGCGCCATTTCCGTGAGGTAAGCGTCGATGTAGTCGTTCGAGCCTCCGGTGCTTCCGTCTAAAGAGAACACAAGAAGGTCGAGCAGGAACCCTTCTTTTTTACGCTATTGTGCCGTCTCTTAAGGCCCTCCAGAAAGAAAGAGAGATCCTCAGGGGAGTAGCGCCTCTGGTTAGAAATTAGATAATTGTTAGATAGAATTAGATGATACAGGGTGCAGCACAATGATTGCCGCCCATAGAAAATAACGACAATCCAAAAAATAAATCATGCACTAAAATGATGAATAATTCAATTCAATTTTCCCTGTTTTTCATAGTAAAATATCTCCTAATGTTCCCACCTTCATGCACATTTCATTCATATTTTGGTATTTTAAAAGGACTTTCACCAGCACATTTTAGGTATCATCCGCGAATAAAAAAAACACGCTCACAATTCCAACGAATCACTCTACCGATTACCATACAGAGAAAACCATACCGAGAATATCTTCGCGATGGCCGCCGCGTTGCGATCGATGCGCCGCGAGGCTCGGAGTGCAGGCGGCCAAAGGTACACCAGCAGGGGAACCCATTGGAAGTTCCCAATGTAGCTGGAATCCTTGAAGACTTCCATCAGACTTTTCATGAAGTATTGCATCCTCGAATCGCCATGAGGAAATTGCTTGTCTGCAGACGATCGAAACAAAACATCCGCCTTTCGTGAATATGAATCGGTTGCAAGTTTTTTTTTTTTCTCGAACCTGCAGTCATTTTCCAGATAACGTTGAGAACGGCAACGTTGAGGCGAGGACCGAGATCGAGAGGCCTGAGCTGATTCTCCTCGAGGAACCGGCAGAGATCGAGGACGGAGTCTCGGATGATGGAGTCCATGGCCTCCCTCTTCCCGAAGCCGAAGTCCTTCAGGATCCGCATGGTGAAGCGGCGGTTCTCCTGCCACAGGCTGCCCTGCGCGGATACCGGCAGAGATCGAGGACGGAGTCTCGGATGATGGAGTCCATGGCCTCCCTCTTCCCGAAGCCGAAGTCCTTCAGGATCCGCATGGTGAAGCGGCGGTTCTCCTGCCACAGGCTGCCCTGCGCAGATCCGATGCCTGAAACGAAAATAATAATTGTTGAGTTTTCCTGTCGTATCTACGAGGCCGAAAGCGAAGTCGGTGTATGAACGTCTTTTTTTTATTGGCGGATTGAATGAAAAACGGGTTTGGATACTTAAATGAGGCCCCTCAAGAGTCGCCTTCAATTTGACCTGCTCCTAAGATCGCGTGTGGGGTGGAATCATCACGAGATCTCTCTCGTGCCCGAGTCCATGTGCCGAATGAAACGCGACAAGAGGGTTTTTGCATTCGACTCGGAGACCTTTCTCGAATTCACCGATCGAGCAGTGGCATTGAAGCTCAGACCCTATTCCTCGAATCATCTGCGAGCTGTTGACCAGTGTGACGAGCCGCTGCAACTGACCGATGTGAAACAGAAGAACGAAATTAGGGGTACGTACTATTCCACAAAATAGTACGTTTCCAGACATTCCGGCATGCGCTATCGCGCGTGCAAAACGACAGAAAGCATGCGAGCGGCCTGAAAGGGTTCATCGCATGAACAAGCAGGGTTTCAGATCATACCCTAATGCTTATCTGAAGCGTGAGTTGGGAGCTCGTGACCTCCATCGCCTTAGGTCATTTCTCTAGGGTACAGCGATCCAGACTGTTTTAGTTGTAGTGCTGTGGTCCTGCACAGTACCATGACGAGCAGACGACAGAACACTGGTAAGGGATGCCCAATATGTGTAGCCTGGTCAGGCAGATTAATCATTGATTAGCTTCTTGAAAGGGTGACTTCCCACTAGAAAGGAATGAGTAAGCGATGATCAGACGTTTTTGGACTTTTCAAGTGGTATTCATAGCAGATGCTTCCACAACTTCTCTCATGACTTCTGGCAAGTTGGTGACGTCAGGTGAGCAACCAGGGATGGGTGCGTGCCTGCTTTCATTCCTGTTTTCCTCCTGCCTGGCGGTTCCATCTTCGCGGATGTGCTCTCTTTCTTCTTCTAATCTCCGTCTGGTGTGCTTGCTCCATCCTTCCAGTTTTTGTCCTTTGTGGATCTCGGTGATGTGAATTACTTCACGTTTAACATGAGACATTACCTGCACCAACGGGCTGATGTTTGTGCTGGTGCAGAAGCGGAGAACTCATTCCCCAAAGGTCCACTCCAAGTCAAGAAACCATCTCCCATTCATCGAGTCCATGAATATGTTCTGCTTCCATCCCTGCCACGTCTCACCCTTCTAGTGGCCTGACTTCAAGTGCCTCGCGTTGCTCAGGGAACGTGCCCAAGCGCCTCAAAGTGTTATAGTTGAAGGGCTACAAGGCCTAGTGTGGAACTCATTCCCATCCTGTTAATGTCCAAGCCCCCATCCCCAGGTCTGTGATAGGTCTTTCTCGTGGCCGCGTATGCGATTGACCTAATCTTGTCGCTTTTGTCTGACGGATCGCTTGGGCAACCAAAGAGACTCCTCTTGAGCAGAGAAGATTGGTTTTGCAATCTGATCCAACCCGCTTTCATTCTTGAAGCCAAGGTGCCGGGTCAGGTGCCATCCTGGCCACCGGCATCACGTAATGAAATTTTTTTTTCATATTGGGGCACATTCGCAAGTTACTCTCGTTAATCGTCCCATCCATTGGGCGATACGTCCCCGTGAGAGAACGTCCAAGGGTATTTAAGAAATTACTTACGAGAGATAGAGTTTGGCATTATTCCCAAGCGTTTTTGGTGCACGCCAATTTTTTTTTGGTGTGCAAAAAAATTCGGTTCTAATTGCCTTCCGGAAGATTTGAACATATGATATAGCCTGAATTGACTGTTATTTCAAGAAAATTTAAAACCAATTATCTGATTGGAAAGAAAGTTCTCGGAATTTCTTGAATATCCAGTACAATTTTTTTCCAGAGCATGCTAGAATGTTCTGCGTGTGTTTATAAGTAGGTCGTGTCCTTCGGCATACAACCGTATATTATTACAGCCCTGGTGCTCTCCAGCCATGAACCAGCCCTACCCTCTTACCAAGGAGCAAGTTCGCCTGCTTCTTCTTTATGACTTCCGAATC